TTCCCGCCCTGGCTACTCACTTGGCTACTCACCTGTGGTATACTGGATCCTACTGGAATCGAGGTCGATTCTTGTCTTACGGGGGGAATGATGTCGGTCTTCACTTTTGGTTTGGAACTCCGCTTTCGATTATCTTCTGGATCCTTCTCACCCTTTCTCTTTCTTCTCTCTTTTGCTTCCTCGATCCTTCTCATTCTAGATTCTTCCACATCATTAGTAATTAGACTCAACTATAGAATAGTATAAATATGACTATCATCCTGAACAAAAAATAAACAACATCGATTAACTTGTGAACAAAACTCCCACTGACTTTAAACTCGTCCCCTCTTGCCCGACACTCTAACCCGCTTTGAAACGGAGTTTGAAATACGTATGTATAACACAAAGGAGGGAAGTAGGTTGGTGGTCGCAACTTTGATGTACTTTTTGACAGTTTGATCGCATAGTATTTGAAACAGTAGTCATTCTAGCGCTTGGTTACTGGGTGATTTGTAGCTTCACCGAGTTTTTCAAACTCAGATTTTGCTACAAGAAACTTTTTTCCGTCAATCATAATTTTTTCTTCTTCTTTGCCCCTTCATCACTTTTTCTTTCAATCGACTTCAAGACCGCACCACGAACGACTCGAGCTCAATACAACGACCTTGAACGACCAATGCGTGGTAAGTTTCTCCTTCCCACCATCTTGTCCATCTTTGTCTGACCATCACCAACATCTGCCTTTTGCATCATTGCTCGTTTTTTTTAGTAGATCGCATGAGATGGCAACGGATATCGGCTCTCTGGCACCAGGACTGGATGGAGATGCATTTAGATTAGGGATTGGCGATTACGAAAAACATCAGGAAGCCCTCGCAATTCTTTTTAGGTGCACTAACTTTTCCGTAGTAGATGTAACCATTGCCCTGCTAAGCATCACTACTCCTTTGCCTACTTCCATTTGCCTACTACTTCTAACACTTTTGCGCCGCCGATCAGCCCCCCCCTCTTATTCCCAAGCTTATTACACTAGATTAGTCATTCCAAGCTTAGTCATCCCAAGTCCTGTACATTCCTTCGCAGCCTATCTCCCTCCATGTAGCTTAAAAATTGTCTCATTCACTCAATAAAGCTTACTTGAAACTATCTCCTTGACCATCGTCTTGATTAGGCCAAACTTGAGCGAAGGAGCCCGAGAATCTTCCGCTGTTGCTCTGACTTGACTAATGTGCCTTTTGAACTCGAACTCGCCATGTGTTCCTGGCATCCTCCAGTTCAGAAAACCAAAAAGCTGCCGACTTTTTCAAACGCCGCTTTTTAAAAAAATGATGGACCATCCCTCCATGAAAAGTGTCACTTTTTGTTAGACAGGGATTTTCTCGTGAAAGAGACTACAAACCTTGACTCAAATTTCACAGGAAGAAAGTAGTGCTTCGTATCTACTGTTTGATAGCAAGGATGTTGGGTGTAGGTGGATTAAATATCGACTTTGGGGCTACTGGAATTAGCTACTGTTTTGGAGGTTAGTGATGAGTTTAGAGAAGCATACAATACATTTATACTTCAATTTTGGTATCTTTTGCGAGATATACTTTCCGTTCTAATCCATGTGGATTTTGAAGATGGGTTAACTATTCCGGTTTAGAAAAACAAGGCAACTCGTTGCAAAATTTGCAATTGGAAATCGAAAAGTTTCTTGGAAAGTCAGGGCGCCCACCCGCTTTATTTCACACTCCGCTCCTTTCAAACTTTCGTGTGCGTTACAACCGGTCAAAAACTTGGGGCACATGCGCATGTTAAAGTTTCCAAGATGACTGGAGCATATTCAAAAGGGTAAAGTCATGAAGATGGGCTCAAAAAGGTTTTATTGACTGTACGAGACTATGGTTAAGCTATATGTAGGACTTGCCATGGAATAACTAGTCTAGTGTAATGAGCTACGGAATGAAGAAAGGGAGAGCTGGTCAGCGGTACTAAAAGTATCAGTGGTAGTAAGCAAAGGAGATTAGACAGACGGGCAGGGATGTCGAGCAGTGCATTGGCTATTGAATCTATAATAGAAAGTGAGTCCACTAAAAAACTCCATGTTTTTCGTTTGTACTTGAGCCCATTACCTAATTTAACCACATGTCCATCCAGTCCTAGTGCCAGAGAGCCAATATTCGTTGCCATCCCATTCGATCATATATGATAAAAAGTAGCATTTATGCAAAAGGCAAATGTTAGTCATGGGTAGACAGAGATGTACAAGACGGTGAGACGGAGAGAGGGTTACCATGCGTTCATCATTCAAGGTCGCTGTATGGAGGATAAGTTGTTCGTAGTGCGGTGCCAATGTCGATTGAAAGAAAAAAGCGATGAAGAAGCAAAGAAGGGGCAAGAAAAAGGATTGATGGAAAAAGTGGTTCTTTGTAGCCTGGTAATATGTGTCGGGGCTCGAATGACCAAAGTGAATCGGAGTTTGAAACATAAAATAAAAGACCCAGTTGAGTAAATCTTGTTATGGAACTTCTTTCTCTCCTAACCCTACACTGATCAACTATGGATTCACAATCGGAAGGCAATCGGCGCAAACAACTTGAAAAGGCACGACAAAGAATCTACGAGGAGTCTGAAAAAGAGAAGCAGCGTATCATGAAGGTAAGAAAGCCCTTGGTTAACTGAAGTTTTGTGACATGTATATCAATGGGACAAGTCGTAACTGTATTTTCTTCTGGTCCATATTATATAGTTGAATGAAGTGCGGGTTGGCTCGGACAAGTTTGCTGCTTCAACGACAGACATTGAATCTCAACTTAAGACAAGCACCATTGGTCTCACCGAACTGTCTGATTACCGAAAGATCCGTGAAAATTTGGAAGAACAGCAAAAGCGGGAGGCAGCCAAAACAGCGCCCTTAGGGTAAGAAACAGCATGGTCATTCATGGTCAACTTATAAATATAGACCTTTTACATTGCAGGGAAGAAAAGAAGAAGAAACGAAAGAAAAAGCAGGTCCTGAAGCTATCGTTTGCTGGTGACGACGAAGACGAAGCCCAAGACGAACAACTGGATACAACAGCGGCAGTGGCGAAGAAGAAAAAGATGGCCAAGGATCCTAGCGTCAACACAAGCTTTTTGCCCGACCGTGAACGAGAAGAAGAAGAACGTAGAGAAAGGGAAAACCTACGGAAGGAATGGCTACAGAAACAAGAAGTACTGAAAAGTAAGTGCACTACTACAGCTTGAGGAGGAAACATCATAAGAAATGAACTAACACTAGCCCTTACTGTATCTGTCTAGATGAAAAGATCGATATCACATACTCATATTGGGACGGAACTGGTCATCGGAAATCTGTGGAGGTAACGTTTGGGTAAAGGAACTTGGGTCAAATAACGGTGAATGACTGATTGTCCCTTTCTCTTCTTTTATATGGACTCACTAGTGTAAAAAGGGGGATACGATTGCTCAGTTCCTGGATAACTGCCGAAAACAATTTCCTCAGCTTCGGGCCGTCAACGTGGATAACTTGATCTACGTCAAAGAAGATTTGATCATTCCTCATGTAAGTTTCAAGCGATCCAACAACAACTAAGGACTAACTAACATTGTGAATTGACCAACACTTGTAGCACTATACATTCTACGACTTTATCATCAACAAGGTGCGTGGAAAGTCCGGCCCCCTATTCAGTTTTGATGTGCATGATGATATCCGGTTGGTGAATGATGCCTCGATCGAAAAAGAAGAAGTAAGTTTGA